TCATCATCATCATCATCATCATCATCATCATCATCATCATCATCATCATCATCATCATCATCATCATCATCATCATCATCATCATCATCATCATCATCATCATCATCATCATCATCATCATCATCATCATCATCATCATCATCATCATCATCATCATCATCATCATCATCATCATCATCATCATCATCATCATCATCATCATCATCATCATCATCATCATCATCATCATCATCATCATCATCATCATCATCATCATCATCATCATCATCATCATCATCATCATCATCATCATCATCATCATCATCATCATCATCATCATCATCATCATCATCATCATCATCATCATCATCATCATCATCATCATCATCATCATCATCATCATCATCATCATCATCATCATCATCATCATCATCATCATCATCATCATCATCATCATCATCATCATCATCATCATCACATCATCATCATCATCATCATCATCATCATCATCATCATCATCATCATCATCATCATCATCATCATCATCATCATCATCATCATCATCATCATCATCATCATCATCATCATCATCATCATCATCATCATCATCATCATCATCATCATCATCATCATCATCATCATCATCATCATCATCATCATCATCATCATCATCATCATCATCATCATCATCATCATCATCATCATCATCATCATCATCATTCATCATCATCATCATCATCATCATCATCATCATCATCATCATCATCATCATCATCATCATCATCATCATCATCATCATCATCATCATCATCATCATCATCATCATCATCATCATCATCATCATCATCATCATCATCATCATCATCATCATCATCATCATCATCATCATCATCATCATCATCATCATCATCATCATCATCATCATCATCATCATCATCATCATCATCATCATCATCATCATCATCATCATCATCATCATCATCATCATCATCATCATCATCATCATCATCATCATCATCATCATCATCATCATCATCATCATCATCATCATCATCATCATCATCATCATCATCATCATCATCATCATCATCATCATCATCATCATCATCATCATCATCATCATCATCATCATCATCATCATCATCATCATCATCATCATCATCATCATCATCATCATCATCATCATCATCATCATCATCATCATCATCATCATCATCATCATCATCATCATCATCATCATCATCATCATCATCATCATCATCATCATCATCATCATCATCATCATCATCATCATCATCAAGGTCAAGGCCACAGCCTTCGGTTTGAAAATACGTTCGCTCCGCTCTCAGGCCAGTTTTTTCATTATTATTGTGTCATATATTGTTGTATCCTGTCGTGAGTTATATAGTTCGATATAATATTTGATTCTGCGTTATCCGGTGATATATTTAGATATATATTAGCCGTAATTTTTTCGTTTTTTGTCCTCCTGGCGATTTTTTGATCTGAGTGGTAGCGTGCCCTTATCCTGTTAGGCCAATTTTATCTCGTTGATTTTATTGTTATAACAGTGTCGTCCTCTAATTCACATAACTAATTCTAGCTAGTCATTTAGCGTTATACTTCGTAACTATCTGTAATAATTCAGCATAACTTCTTTGTCTCTTAATTACACCCATTTGCTCGTATCGATCGTAGTTATTTTTAAAATGACGAAGCAGTCTCCTTGTGGAATTTGCTGCAAGATCGTCGGACATAGAGCTAATGCGGTTTCATGCAGTCTCTGCAGCGCAAGGCTTCATATTTCGTGCGTTGGTCTGACTGTAGACCAATTTCGTATAATTCAGGGCATTAAGAGCGAATTTTTGAAGACCGTTTGTAAGCAATGCCAAGCTAATCTTGTGCAGAATAAAACGGACACGTCTAACAAGCGGGTCAGCACAACGAAGTGCTCTAAAATGCCCAGCTCGCCTTGTGCTTCACCACAGTCAGTGAAGCTGCCAACGCCTAGTACCTCGTCGCATCCATCTCGGAAACAAGGTACTAAAGTTCCATCAGACTCTCCCTCAAGACCTACTATATGTTCAGCTGACAGTAAAGTTCCAATTTGCAATAAACAAACTGAGGATAACGATTGGAGAGTACAAACATCGAAGAAACCAAGACCAATATCTAATGACCTGAGGCGCCGTAGCCTCATGGTCTTTTACGCACCTGAGTCAGGTGATTCTAATCCTCAGGTGCGTTATGCACATGACGTCGAATATTTGCAATCATTGATTGACAAACTACTCGATGTAAATGAGGACGGGCTCAAAGTTCAACAGATCGCCCGTCTAGGAAAGAGAATGGAGGGCAAAAGTCGGCCCATGAGGGTGACATTTGCCGAAGAAGCAAGTACCAAGTTACTATTGTCTCGCCTTAATAGGCTGAAGGGTATGAAGATCCACGTGCGCGCTGACTTAGAACCGGCAGACAGAGAGAAACTCAAGTCTGCCATGATTGAACTAAAGCGGCGCACGGAGGATGGAGAAACAAACCTCCGTATCGTAAATTTTCGAGTAGTTGCCCGGGTTCCTCCACGAATCCGGATCAACAGGTTGCTAATACTTCAGGCGCGCCCAGCGGGTCCTACCGCGGTCTGCGCGTAGCCTTTACTAACGTATGCAGTTTGATGAACAAACGCGATGTGCTGTACGACTTCGTAAGCTCTCAGCGACCGGACGTATTAGGCCTTGCTGAGACATGGTTAAACTCCGACGTAAACGCCCAAGAACTGGAAATCCCCGGCTACTCATGCTTCCGCTGTGATAGACCATCAAATGATCGCGGTGGCGTTCTACTTTACATAAAGTCTTCCTTGTGTGGGAGACTAGTGAGCGCCTATCAAAGCGCTGATGGTCTATGTGAGCAGTTATGGTGTTCGATACACCTCAGACGCTGCGAGTTGCACGTGGGCGTGGTATATCGCAGCCCACTGAGCCGCAGTTTGGACTGGTTGCCGCATGTCCGCAACCACATGAGTCGTCCGATGTTCCTACTCATGGGCGATTTCAACTTGCCCCGAATACAGTGGCCTGAAGCTGAACTTCTCCCCGGCCACTGTGAAGTCGAGAGGAAGTTTACGGAGTTGCTATTTGAAACTGGGGCCACACAGCACATCAACCAACCGACACGCATTACAGCGCGCGCAACTCCATCATGCTTAGACCTGCTGTTGACTAGCTGTGAGCAGCGTGTACATAACATTCAAGTCTTAGAGCCTCTGGGAGCGAGTGACCACTCAGTGATCATAGGCAGTTTAGAACTACCGCTACCGTATCCTCTCCCACTAGAGTCAGCCTTCAACTATTGGAAGGCGGACTTTAATGGCCTCATTCGAGCAGCGAGCCAGATAGACTGGTCTTTACCACAGGATTCATCTATTGAAACCTGTTGGGCTATCATTAAAGAGGGAGTGAAATCGTTGTGCGCCCGATTTGTGCCCCTCAAATTTCGGAAAGTTGGGCCAGTCAAACCACATTGGTTTGACAAAGAGTACAACAAAATGGCCCGACGGCGACGTAGACTATGGAACAAATTCGTGTTATCTGGCTCTGATGAGGACTACAATGCCTACAAGGTACAACGAAATCGCTGCAACAACGCGAAAACAAGAAAACGCAGAAGCTTCGAAGAGGAGCTTGCAACTGCCGCAAAAACTGCTCCCAAGAGGATCTTCGCATATGTGAAGCGGCGCCTAAGACCTATAGCTAGTATCCCAGTGTTAGAAGGCTCAGAAGGACAGCCTCTAACCTCGAGTACAGATCGTGCGTCAGCATTGGCAACGCACTTCGCCTCCGTATTCGCAAGTGACCAGGTGTCTGTAATGAGTTCGACGAGCACCGCTCCAGCCGAACTTAACAGCCTGGACTGCAATATTGAGGATGTACGCAAGATTCTAGCAAATCTTGACGGGACGAAACCTGCTGGGCCAGATGGTATACACCCACTAATCCTCAAGTCATTATCGACCATAATTGCACCTTCTGTAACTGAACTGTTTAACAGGTCACTATCCACTGGTCTACTACCGGACGACTGGAAATGCTCAGTCGTAAAGCCTATCCCGAAAGGTGGTAACCCAAGCAAAGTGGATAACTACCGGCCGATCTGCCTGACGGCAGTTTTGGCAAAGACGCTCGAGAAGATCGTGAAGAAGAGCCTTCTGCAACTTCTCGAGTCGAAAAACCTGTTAACCTCCGCACAGCATGGTTTCCTGAAAGGTCGTTCGTGCATCACCAACCTACTGTTGACGAGGCACGAATGGTTACAAGCGCTGAACAAAGGCCAATCGGTTGACGTCATTTACATTGACTTCAGTAAGGCTTTTGACAAGGTTAACCATGCAGTGCTCCTTGACAGACTGAGGATGTGCGGTGTTGGTGGTTCGCTGCACAAATGGAATGGTCTGCAGAGGTTAACCTTCCGATCACCCGTGCCAAGTCGCAATTCATGAGGTTGGGTAAGTATGATCACGGCCGAACGTACACAGTGGCTGGACAACCGTTGCATCCCGCTCCTTTCGTGCGCGACCTCGGTGTACTCTCACGCTGCGACCTAAAGTCCATTGACAACACGAATAGGCTGTACCAAAACAGCCTATTCGTATGCTTTGGGCTCTCAGGCGCAGCTTTAGCACTTGGTCCGAAGAGATTGCCTCTCGCCTCTTCGTCTCGATAATACGAACAATGCTAGAGTACGGCACTCCCGCATACTGTCCCATCACCCGGGGCGAAGTAGAAAAGCTTGAGCGGGTGCAGCATGTAGCCACCAGGCTGATTCCCAACTTACGAGGTATGTCATACGAAGACCGATGTAAGAAACTAGGGTTATACACCCTATCTTATCGTCGGCTGAGGGTTGACCTCATCATGACGCACCGAATATTACATCTGGGTGATTACCCATGTTGAGACAACTACTTCATCTGCGCACACAAAGCTGCACGCGAGGACACCGGTATAAACTTATCGTCCCGGATTTGAAGCGGGTCGCCCATCAACTCTGTTTCGAACGAAGAGTGGTGAATGTCTGGAACGACCTGCCTCAGCAAATAGTAGAAGCGAACTCAGGGGCTAATTTCAAGATGCTACTAGACAAACAATTTGCAGAGGCAAAGTACAGAGAGCGAAACGATAAATAAAAGGTTCATGTCCGAAAACCACGAACGATGCAGCTACACAGAGCAACCTCTACTCGCTGCTTCCCACCAGTTCCCGAGTTCTTCATCATCATCATCATCATCATCATCATCATCATCATCATCATCATCATCATCATCATCATCATCATCATCATCATCATCATCATCATCATCATCATCATCATCATCATCATCATCATCATCATCATCATCACATCATCATCATCATCATCATCATCATCATCATCATCATCATCATCATCATCATCATCATCATCATCATCATCATCATCATCATCATCATCATCATCATCATCATCATCATCATCATCATCATCATCATCATCATCATCATCATCATCATCATCATCATCATCATCATCATCATCATCATCATCATCATCATCATCATCATCATCATCATCATCATCATCATCATCATCATCATCATCATCATCATCATCATCATCATCATCATCATCATCATC